GAACGCCGGCACGATGAACTCGGGCCGTAACGCAAATTACTCATTTAAACATTACAGGGCAGCCGGACAAAAACGACATGGCAACAATGCAAAAAAAAAAAAAAAGAACTAAGTAAAGATATCACTGTAATTGCAAGACTTTTGACCACTTTGTTTAAACAGCCGATCGCGAACGGCAACTAACTGTGATGTAGCAAACATAAAGCCATACATGTCAACTTTTCGGAGCGCCAACCTGTATAAGCTACCAAAAAAATTCTTATAAAGAGCAAAAAAATCCTTGTAACATACCAAAGCATTTTATATGTCAAAATAACGGCAGAGAAAAAACACGATTTTCAAAAAAAAATTTTAAATTTTCAATGATCTTTATTGTAGATCTCCATAATATAATGTCTGGTTAATGTCTAATCATCATTATTTACCGGGAATGAAAGCATTCGAGTAGACTCGAGTAAAATCCTGGACCGTATGAGATGACAGGTATGGGTTTGTAAAGACGGTGTGGTCTTTAAACCTGTTTTTAGTTGGAACCCTCTCAGGACAGGTGCTACAGATTTGTAGCAACCGAGTGCCTAGACTACACCTGGTGCGAACTTTAGTTGAGCCTGAGAGGGACCTATTGAGAAGGGACTCTTTCAAGCGTTGAATGAGTATTTGCGCGCCGGCTAAAGACGTGGTCTTGAAAGCCGTTTAAAGCCCTGAGCCATACTAGTCCCTATCAGGCATATAGACAGAGTCGAGTCTTTAAAACTGTTGAGGGCAACGGTGTCCTGCACGTGCTTAAACTCCGTGTGTAAATAAAGTGTGTATATAGAATGTTACCTAGGTTGAAGGTAATCGAATAGAACTCGCTAAATGAGTGACTGTGTAAATGTGTGAGTGGAGGTTCGCTACCTCATTCGAACAGGACATTTGTTGTGGCAACTGTCTGAGGAAGCAGATGCAAGAATTTCCCGCCACTTTGGTGGTAGAAGGTTGGAAATTACCTCAGTCGGAGAAATTGTCACCCTGTTCAAGGGAAAAGTCAGCCTAGTTACCCTAGGTAAACCGCTGACTCTCAAATTTTCAAAATGGGGTTACTAAATAGTAAGACCGCGGATAAAAAGGATCCTAAAATGAAGTTAACATGTAAGGACTGGAGGTTCCTAGAGAGCCAATGTCCTTCAAAGATAAAACATGTAGACATATGGATAAAAAAAATATGATTTCGCTGGCCAGTTGAACACACAAACATTGATGCACCTGCAGGATAATATCAGATCTATGTGCAAGAATGACAAAAAGTAAATGGATAAAGATGGGTTTGAAGACATTGATTTCTGGATGTCTTTGGCTGAAAAGAGACGGAAAGTGAAAGAAAAAAAGGGTGTAGAGAAAGTGGAAAAAGGGAACGTTTCAGTGCGTTTGACCGTGAGAAGAATGAGGGAAACGTTATGTTTCACAGGAGAGAGGATGATGAATCGGGTCCGGTAGGTATACAGATAGGAGGAAAACAGAAAGTCGAGAGAGAGAATGCGTTTGAGATGACATCCACAGATACTGTTAACTGACAACAAACCCTGGAAAATATTCTCAGTGTGGGAAGATGTTTTCTTGTCAGAGTGCTTTGAAAAGATGTGAGAATCCACACGGGTGAGAAGCCTTTTGCCTGCTTAGTTTGTGGCCAAAGATTCTCTTGTAAAGAAAACTTAGATGATCACAAAAGAACCCGCACTGGTGAGAAACCTTTTGCCTGCTTGGTTTGTGGCCAAAGATCCTCTCGGAAGGGAACCTTAAAAATACACACCAGAAAACGCGCTGGTGAGAAACCCTATTCATGCTCAGTTTGTGGTCAAAGATTCCCCCAGAAAGGGACACTTAAAAATACACGCAAGAACACACACTGGTGAGAAACCTTTTTCCTGCTTAGTTTGTGGCCAAAGTTTCTCTGAGAAGGGAACCTTAAAAATACACACAAGAACACTTACTGGCGAGAAACCCTACTCGTGCTCAGTTTGTGGTAAAAGATTCCCCCAGAAGAGAACCTTAAAAACACACACCAGAACACACACTGGTTAACAACCATTTGCCTGTTCAGATTGTGGCCAAAGATTCTTATAAGGGAAGCCTAATTAACCACACAAGAAACCCCACTGGCGAGAAACCT